GCGGGGCCGCGTCCCTGTGCGGAGGGCCCGCTGCCCGGCCACGTTGGATGCCGTGTTGGGGACCGAGTGCGAAGCGACGCAGCCCGCTTTGTGCAGAGGCTGGAAGGCGGCGTCTTGATAGTTCAGTCAGCGTTTGGTGACCCCCTCGCGGGCACTCGGACGTGGAGAGGCCCCTCCGAGCCGACGGGCCGCCTGTCTGCGCTCTGGGTTTGCACCTGGGGAACTGAGCCCCCCGCCAGGGCTGAGACCAGGGGCGAGACCTGGGACTAGACCTGGCTTTGACAAATTTGAGAGTGGCTTTCTTTTTGTCAGCTTTTTTGTTATAGTGGGCTAAAGGAGGTGACCTTCCCTGTGGTCATTGATAGTTAATGTGTGTTTTTGAGTGCTGTGAATATTACAACCAAGGTACTTGTGTAGTGTTTTACGTACTACATTCCTCCTTGGGACCTATTAACAACTTATTGCAATTGTCATAAATGTCTACACAGGAAATGCTAATGACTAGATATCGGAAAATACTGTAGGATAATCATTTCACTTGTCTGCTGTTTGCGCTTGTAGGTACTTTTTTTTTTGCCTGTGTATGAACTTTTAAAAACTAAATTACTTTCTTGAATTGTATATACAAAGATCTGAGTATGTTTTACTTGCACCATTGAACTAAAATTCACCCCTGTTGACCTATAAGAAAAAACATGGTTGGTAGACCCTTGCTATGTGTAAAAACTTGTGTTGCTGTGCTGACTTCATATATGGCTTTCTAATAATAGTACACATCTGTTCAGAGCTGTGGGAATGACAGGGTAGTCACCCCTTGTTTGTTTCTGTTTGCAGCAACAGTATCAAAGTGCTCTGTTTTGGGCAGACAAAGTTGCTTCACTTTCTCATGGTAAGTGACCAATGCTATTTTTTTTTTTCCTAACTGATCTTTAAAAATTTCACTTTTTACCTCTGACCATTTATTTAATGTCCTCTCCAGAGGATCCCCAGGATGTTTATTGGTTGGCTCAGTGTCTTTATCTGACAGCACAATATCATAGAGCAGCCCATGCACTTCGGTCACGAAAACTGGACAAAGTAAGTATGTTAATAATGTAAACTTAAAAGTTTTCAAAGCTGTAAAACAGTCATTAGATAGGTATTTTAGGTGTATGTTTTGTTTATTCTCACATGAAGAAATTCACCTTTTTTTTTGAATGAAAACTTCTTCCTAATTTATCACTTTATTCCTTCATCCCATCTAGTCACTAAATTCTGAAAATTGTGTTTTTGTTGTTGTTTGTTTGTTTTGAGATGGAGTCTCTTTATGTTGCCCAAGCTGGTTACAAACTCCTGGGTTCAAGTGGTCCTCCTGCCTCAAACATCTAAGGGTCTGGGATCACAGGCACCTACCATCATGCATGGGCTTGGAAATCCTATTTGTATGTAGCTCTGAAACTGTGAGCATTTCTTTAGATTTTCTTACCACTTACATACATAAGTGAGGCCTTCAATGTATTAGTTGGAGTCCACCTTCTTGTTTTTTTCTTCAGTAACATTTTCTTCCTTTCCACTTTTCCTGTATCCAGTCCTTTTTACAAACTATCACAAGGGAGAATTTCCTAAAATACAGTTCTGATTGTGTCACCCAAAAAATCATTCAGTGATTTCCCTCTGCCCACTGGATAAATTCAGATGTCTTAATAGACATGGAGGTCCATCACTGCCGTTTCAATGCATATAGCGCATACTCCAGTCAGTTGGGCACCTTTCAGTTCCTTGGACATGGTGGCAGGTGTTTATGCTACATTCTGCTGCCCAACCAGCTTCTGACTTGGCTTCCCCTGCAAATGTTTTCTTTTTCAGCTGGCTAGTGCTATTATAGTGTTTTGTGTTGTGTTCATCTCCCCACCACCACCACCACTGTAACATTTTCACTACTTTTTAAATTCGTGATACCTGGTAAACAGTAGGTTTGTGTTGAATATGGGCTAAAGAGACTGGAATTTTTGCTGCAGGAGTGAAAGGAGAAATTATAAAACTAGCTATCTTGTGCTTACAGCTTTGTTTTAAAATGAAAATATGTGACAATTTTTAAAATAATTTCTTTCCTAGTTGTATGAAGCATGTCGTTACCTTGCAGCTAGATGCCATGTAAGTATGCTATTTTTCCTTTTTATTTAATAAAAGTTTGATTATGTGAGCATTGTTTCCCTTATGTATGTATATATGAGAATTTGGGTAATGGAATTTGGCAGGTTATTATAGTATTTTGTGAGGAAATGTGTTTTTCTTTAGTATTGTTTGCTATGAAATACTTATTTACTAAAAGCTGACATATATGAAGAAAATTGTAGTTCAGACAATTTAAGTGGATATATTATCCGTTTAAAATCCAGAAGTCATGTTTGATGAATTGTATGTCTGTTTCCTGCATAGTATGCTGCAAAAGAGCACCAGCAAGCTCTTGATATTCTTGATATGGAGGAACCAATCAACAAAAGACTATTTGAAAAATACCTGAAGGATGAAAGTGGCTTGAAAGACCCCTCCAGTGACTGGGAAATGTCACAGTCCTCGGTGGGTATTTTGTTAGCATGCTTCAGAAACAGCAGTAGGAAATGCCCATGTTAAGTGGCAAACTTTCTTTTACTTATATATTATTAAAGTAATTATGATTTCCAGCTTATTTCCCCACCAAAACCAAAGAATCTGAGAAATTTCTGAGTAAACCATTTGTTGGAAACTAATGATATCCTCTGAGGCTGTGTCTGAGAGGCTGACCTTAGACTTGCTTTTCAGATGAGGTGCCATGAATTGTACCCTCAGGAGGAATAATCTTGCTTACTTTGTTCTAACAGTGTTTTGGACCTGCCCACCCAAAGAACTTTACCTAGCTGAACTTGTTTGCAGGGAATGTTGTGTTTGGTATGCTTCAGTTTATGTGCTTCTTACCACCAAGAAATTGCAAGAGATTTGTCTTAGTGAGTGACCCTCAGTCAGGCCAATAATCTGGATCATTATTCCTTTATTTTTAACAGTTTAAGATAAAATTCACGTATCACCTAGTTTATCCATTTAAAGTGTACAGTTTCTATGGCTTTTAATATATTCATATCTGTGCAAACCTCAGTTGTAGAACATTTTTGTTACTTAGAAAGAGACCTTCTCCCTTTAGTGGTCACCCAAAGATCCACCTGTCTCCATAATTGTAAGATTTATGAAGGAACTTGGTTACTCTGCTTTTCATCTTAAAATGATAGGTATATTATACATTCTGAGTGCTCATACTTTTTTTAAACCACTCATCTATGTCTTTAAGCACATTAATTTTAGTGCTAGATGCATAGATGAGGGAGATTGGTATTATCACTATTGTTTTTTGGATCTCTTGTTCATTAATTTATTTCTTATGAAATGTATGATTTATTTGTAAAGTATTATTTCTTCTTTGAAATTGCTTTTTTTGCTGGGTGCATTGGCACACATCTGTAATCTCAGCAACTTAGGAGCCTGAGACAGGAGGGTTTCAAGTTCAAGGTCACTCTCTACAACTTTACAAGACCCTGAACAGTTTAGTGAGACTCAAAAAGGCTGGAGATGTAGCTCAGTGGTTAAGTAAGTGCCTCTGGGCTAAATTCCTAATACCACCCCCACCCCCCAACACACACACACACCAAAAAAAAAAAAGCAATTTTTTTTTTTTTTAAAACACATCATAGGACACTGCTTAATTTAGGGACTAAACTAAGCGTGTCTGTTAGTTTTTAAATTTTGGTCTATGAATTTTCTCCACCTTGATCATTTTTGCTGCTCATCTCTAGAGCCTCTTTGAGCTTGGTTATGTGTTTCTTGAGGCTCAGGTATAGAATGCGAGTCAGATTCTACACCCTGTTGATGGTCACAAGGTAGCCAGCACCATACATGGCATTTTCTCCTTTTTACAAGTGAGGCCAAGCCCAGTTAATTATTATCCAGGATCACACACAAGTTTCAGGGCTGGAAAGTGAACTGAGGTCTGTGGGCTCCAGCAGTCCATGCCTTTGACCACTGGGACCATGGGCTGCCTTGCTGCCAATTACTAAGACTCACCAAGATCCTCTCATTAGGATCTATCTCAAATTACTGTTTGTCTTACAGTTGGATTTTGCACACATACAGCCTGCTATCTCTAAGTCATTGCAATATTTGGGGTAAAACAAGTAATATACCTAATAGCTTTGCTATTTACATTAGTTATAAAGATTTATTGAATAAAGTGATCAGAGCCCAGGGAAGACAGATGAAAGAAACTCTTAGTCTTCATGTGTCTGTTAGTTCACACTATGCTTTGATAGTTGGGATGAGTTGAATCCTTATTTAAAAGTTCTGAATTAGTATGTACATATCATATTTTTCTACCAGATAAAGAGTTCTATTTGTCTTCTACGAGGGAAAATCTACGATGCTCTAGATAACCGAACTCTAGCTACCTACAGTTACAAAGAAGCTTTGAAGCTTGATGTGTACTGTTTTGAAGCCTTTGATCTTTTAACATCACACCACATGCTGACAGCACAAGAAGGTTTGGAAACATGGGTGTTTTTATGTTTAGCACAATTAATACTGTTTGGATTGTCTTCTCTTAAATCATTATATAATCAAGAGCAGGCTGTCTACAGGTTTTAATAGACCTACTGACTTTCTTAAGGTCTTCAAACATGAAGCATGTTGCAAAATGCAATATCGTGCAGTGCCTCTTGCTGTCAGAATCTTGAGAGACTGGACATCACAAGGTCATATTTTTGAGAAGCAATTTGAGATAATATAAACCAGGATTTCGGTGTCTGATTCAGTGATTCTCAGCCTGGCTGCACTGTAAATTCCCAAGAAGCTTTAATAACATCAGTGCCTGGGTCCTGGCTTCAGACCAGTTTGGTCAGAACCTCTGGAGGTAGGGCTCTCACATCAGATGGTTTAAAGCTTGTAGTTGACCCTAATGTACCACAGGGACCAAGAGCCTCTGACCAGGTGTATTGGTAGTGATGCAAGGTGGACAGTCAAGGAAATAGGAAATGGGGTTGTTGAAGTGGTTCTCAATTACTGGGGTTGTGTCTGGAGACTTTGGTTGTCATAACTTGGGGCATGTAGTATGGAGGAAGGATTCTGTTGGCATCTGTTGGTAGCGGCCAGAGATGCTGCTAAACTGCAGTGCATAGGATGCCTCCCAACAGAATGGTCCACAAGCATCAGTAGTGTTGAACCCAAGGCACTCCACGTGGCCGCTGACTGCACCCCTCTGGAGGCCTCTGGGCCCTAGCCCTCAGTTGATCTATGTCTCCTAGGCCTGGGAACCACTGTCTCAGCTTTCTCTGGTACATTTTGATCTTTCTATTTTCTCTTGAGTTGATTTATTTAGACCAAGAATTATAAAAGAGTATTTGTAGTTATTAACCTTTTTTTCTCATATTATGAGGACATCTTTTTTTGTTTCTCATCATTTTTAAGAAAAAGAACTACTTGAGTCACTACCTCTTAGCAAGCTCTGTACAGAAGAACAGGAATTGCTGCGTTTTCTGTTTGAAAACAAATTAAAAAAGGTAAGGAAAAATGCAGCATTTGTTTATGTAAATTTCATTTCATTAAATTTGACCTTTATTCCTTATTATTTAAATTGTTTTATTAAGTTAGCACGTTTACAAGAAGGATTATTTTAACTATTTGGTAGGATTCCTAAAGAAGCTTTCAAAATGTCTTCCTCCCAAGGACTCCTTATTCTAAAAGTTTGAATTAGTGCATGAAAAAGCAGATTTTTTTTCTTATTTTTTCTGAATCTCTGTGATATGCTGCCTATTGTGGAACTCTTTTGATTAAATTGAGAAGAGAATTAAACTGATTGTGAGGAGTGCTAATGTGCTAATGAAACTTGAAGTGTTTTTTTTTTTTTTTTGAAACTTGAAGTTTTTAGGGGCTCACATATGTCCTGTGTAATTGTTTTAACCACTTGGGCCAAACACAGAGTAAGTCTTCCTTTTGATTTGTTATTATTCGTTGAGTTTATCTTTATATTTTTCTGTTCCAGTATAATAAGCCCAGTGAAACTGTCATCCCTGAGTCGGTTAATGGATTACAAGAGAATCTAGATGTGGTAGTGTCTTTAGCTGAGAGACATTATTATAACTGTGATTTTAAGATGTGCTACAAACTTACTTCTGCGTAAGTATGCTCACCATTTTTGTTTTTGAACCTGAAGTTTAGTCCACATCTACATAATTCAAAGACGTTTTCCCTGAGTAATCTCAAACTAGATGATGGTTTAAGTTACCTTTGAATAATTCTGAACAGGCTGCTGCTTTTAAAAGAGCAATTTATAGCCAAGTTTTTTCATATTTGTAGCCATATTATAATAACTTTGGAGAAACATACATTTCTATCTTCCCAATCTTGATAGTTTTTATAGTTTGGAAGTACAATTTTGATGTGACACATAATTTCATAAAATACTTTCTTTGTTAGAGACTAGAGTTGGGGCAATAGCTTAGTGGTAGAGTGTTGGCCTAGCATGTACCAGGTCTTGATTTGGTGTACAGCACTGAAAAAAAAAAAAAAAGTCTAATACTGTCCTGGGTGTTCTATGATATCTGGCATACTCATTAGCTAAGTCATCTCCCCCACACACCAGTTTTCCAGTATGCCAAATCAGAGTTGTCTTTTAGCTAGATTATATTCTATTATTTTGAGGGTCTTTGGGTTGTTTAAAATTCTTGGAATCACAAATTTAATTAGCAAATACCTGTGATCTATTTAATGGTTTAAACTTGTAAGCCTTTAAATAGTTGGAGAATTTATGTATTGAGATGCTGTTCACTTAAAATAATTTATTCCTACCAAATTCACCAGAATTTTCTCTTTGCTTTATAACCTGATCATTGCTGTATTGTAGCCTACAGTATCATGTATGATCTTTAATAATTAAACATAGCCAGTTATGATGAATTCTGTCATGTACCACTTCTGTACCATCATTTAAATGGATTTTGTTCTTAGAAGAAGGGAAGGTACAAAATCCTTGCTATGAGAAGAGGTTTTATTTGATTGGGAAGGGTAGTGACTAGGGTAAAGGTCAGATCTTAAACTGTATTTTTATGAATACTTAAACTTTTTTTTCCATTTCCCTAATATAGAACTTTTCTACCTTTCTCATGTACACTTCTGTTGTGTTGCTTTAACTTTCAGAGTAATGGAAAAAGATCCTTTCCATGCAAACTGTTTACCTGTACATATAGGAACTCTTGTGGAGCTGAATAAAGCAAACGGTATGAATTTTCTTTTTAATGAAGATAATTCTTGCTGGGTGTGTTTGCCAATGCCTGTAATCCCAGTGATTTGAGAGGGTAAAGCAGGAGGATCACAAGTTCTAGGCCAACCTCAGCAACCTTTTGAGACCCTGTCCTAAAATTTTGAAAAGATCTGGGGGATGTAATTCAGGCAGAATGCTCCTGGGTTCAATCCTTAGTACCACCACCAAAAAAAAAAAAAAAAAAAAACAAATTCCATGTAATTCTTAAATTTAAGAAAAAGATTAGGGCAAGAATTGTTAACTATTTAGAATTTGGAAGGGAGCATAGTTTTTACTTGGGTTTTCCACATTTTAATTTCAGGAACATTTAGTTGTGTTTGAGCAATAATTGCCCTTACATCTTTAAAACTCAGTAGTGAGTCTCTCAGAGAGCAAGAAAACCCAAAAACATCCTAGTTCTAGGGCTGGGGATGTGGCTCAAGCGGTAGCACGCTCACCTGGCATGCATGCAGCCCGGGTTCGATCCTCAGTACCACATACAAACAAAGATGTTGTGTCCGCCAAAAAAAAAAACTAAAAAGTAAATATTAAAAATTCTCTCTCTCTCACTCTATCTTTAAAAAACAAACAAAAAATCCTAGTTCTAAACCCCTGTTTCTCTCTGGTCCATGGACCAGCAGCATCACATCCCTTAGAAGCTTGTAAACCACCAAATCCAAAGTCTGCATGTAGGACATGCCTGCATGAGATGTAAGACTGGCATGTTTGTCAAGAGAAAGTACTCTATTGCTGATGGTTTGGCAGTAGCCTGGGACTTAAGAGGTGTAGGGTTCTAGGGTAGGCATGGTGCTTTGAAGGAACCTTGGCCACTCCTGGAGTGCTTTATTCAGGGCTTCTGTTCCCACATCACCCACCACATGCCCTCCACCTAGTTTTCCAAGCACTAAGCAGGTGTTCAGTGTCCTCTGTGGGACTGGGGAGGATGTATCTGCCAGGTGGGATCTCTTTACCATCAATTAAATGGATTTTGTACTCAGAGAAAGGGAAGGTATGAGATCTTCACTATGAGAAGGGTAGTGACTAGGATAAAGGTCAGATCTTAAATTGTATTTTTATGAATAATTGAATTTTTTTTCCATTTCCCTAATATAGAACTTTTCTACCTTTCTCACAAACTGGTGGATTTATATCCTAGTAATCCTGTAAGTAATATCTTTTTTCTTACCTGAACTTTAAGAAAATACTTAACTAGTTATTTAGACAGTAGTTTAAGTACAAGCAAATAATATTTAAATCATTAGGGCCATGAAGAGATTTTCTAATTATATCAGAGCAATAACCTTAAAACAAAAACCTTTTTTTCTAATTATAGAAATTATACATTTGTTACTTTAAAATAGTATGTAGAAAAATATAAAATATGGCTCATGCCATCACATACCTGTCTTTCCTAAGGGATATAATTGATTGGTAGCTTTCTCAGATTGTCTGTATGAGACAGTGTACTGAGATGTGCGCTGATTGGATCAGTATGTCTTCCAAACTGCAGTGGATCAGAATGGAATACTAGGAATGGAAAGTGAAATTTGGAACTATGTCATTAAAAACAGAAGCCAGGAATCATGGTCTGTCTCAGACAAGACAAGAATCTGTCCCTACCTCAGGAAACTGGAAGTCTTAGTGCAGGAGAATCAACTAATGAAGAGTCAGAACTCTGCAGTGAGAGCCAGGGACAAGCCAGGACTCAACAGGCTGGTGTCCTTAGGCACCTTGTCTTCTGGGGCAGCCATCTGAGAAACACCATGGAGTTAATAATCCCTTCTCCTCTAGGACCTCAGTAGAGAGAATATATTAGATAAACTTGTAATTTGAATTGGAACATCTGATCTACCTCCTGTCTTGCTTAGCTTGTTAGGGTTGTAGTTCAAAGTTACACATCTTTGGTCATGGTAAATATTGAACTTTTTAGGTTTCTTGGTTTGCAGTGGGATGTTATTATCTCATGGTGGGTCATAAAAATGAACATGCCAGAAGATACCTCAGGTATGCATTTTTTTCTTCCTTCTGTAGTCAACCCTAGGAAGAGATTTCTTACTCATATCATATGCTTTAATGCTGTAAATAATAAGTACTTAAAAGCAATGTGAAAGAAAAAAATATTTTCAACATTTTCAGTTCAGTTGTGTCATCCGTGTTCCTTGTTCTTTATGAGGGGAGGTAAAAGATATCAGTGATTTATATCTCATTCTGAAGGAGAATATTTTTATTTATAAGCAAGAAATAATAGGAAACAGTACAGAATAACAGTTTGAAAGGTTTTATTTTTCATTTATAGAGATATTAACCTTTTGCCAGTGGTGGTGAAATTACACAAAACTTTATGTGAGGTTAGGGTCACCAAGTGAGACTATAAAACAGAATTCTTGGCATAGTGAACAGCTTCTTGTAAGGATCAACTGTGCGTTTGACTTAAGGAAAAGCTTGCCACCCAATCATACATAATACACTCAATAATTCATAATCTTAACCAGATTATATAAATGTAGAGAAATGCCTAGGGTGATAAGAATAGTTTTTTACAAAGATTTCAAGTGCAATAATTCCTGTGATTCCCTCTGCAAACAAAATAGAAAAGGACATCCAAGGAAAGGAGCTTGTTTATAATCTAGAATTCTAATCCAAGGTCTATGATTTACCAGCCATAATTCCTGGGAAAGGTCACTTTCTCTGAATCTTCTCTAAAAGTGGGAATAATGTAGTACTTACATGCCAGATTGACATGAAAGCTCCTTGCACTCAGAATGAAATAGGAAGTGTTCTCTGGTTGTGTTCAGTACTTGAGAAAAGCCCAAGTGTATTGAGGCGGTCAATTGTGAAAGGTCTTTTGGACTGTGCTTCTTTAATTTAGTGTGTGATTCCATGAATGACTGTACTGGAAATGGAACATTTGGGTGAAAGAAGGCATAGAAAATAAAATGCTAGAGAGAGAAAAGATCACTTTCCATGTTTTGTGATATGTTCTCTCTGTCCTGTCCTGGGTTAACCATTACCATGTTCACTGATTGAAGACTAATTACGTATAATCCAGTCCACTCTAGAGCCTGTGGTGAATCTCTTCCCACCACAGGAGATCACTTAATCTCTCATGCCTTGATACAGATGTCTTTAAAATGTAATTAGTTTGTCTTGCAAAAGTTGTTAGGATGAGACAATCCGTCTGAGATGAGACATCAGGGAGGTGCCTGGCACAGAACAGGCCCTTGTTTGATGGCTGCTGCTGCCCGCACAAAATGGGCTCCTGGGTAAGATAATGCTTTTAGACATATGCAGAATACTAATGGGTTCAGCCACAGTGCCTTTTTAAAAAGAGGTAGATGTCTCCTAAAATTTTCGTTGTACTGTAAATTGTTTTGGTCAGATGCATTAACACAAATGTTACATTAATATTTAATATGTTGATGATTCATTTATTCAATTAATGTTATTAGTCAATATCTTTGAGGCTGTTTATTCATATGAAATTTAATGTTTAAGAGTAAATATTATTACTGCAATGAATGCTTTTGTTTTAGTAAAGCCACAACTCTGGAGAAGACGTATGGGCCTGCATGGATAGCCTATGGGCATTCGTTTGCAGTGGAAAGTGAGCATGACCAAGCAATGGCTGCTTACTTTACAGCAGCACAGCTGATGAAAGGGTAAGGCAGAGCAAGCTGATTAAACTCCATTAGTTATTTGCTAACCATGAAGTGAAATTTGTTAGTACTATCACTGCCGTTTCTTGATAAACAAAAAACATATTTGCTTCTTGCCTAATAGTTTATGATTGTAAAATAACTGAAAATGGAGGGGGAAAGAAGGTAGGGTAGTAGCTTGCCCAGTAGCTTATATAGTGCATGAGGAAGTAGGAAATTAGGCTAAGGGCTAAAGCCCTTTTCATGGTTCATGTAAGAGTGAAAATGTTCATGTGAAAATTACTATTGTGTCTTATCTGTTACCAAAGTTATTTGATGAGGCTCCTTGGCCATGCAGGACTTTATTTGCCAGTATTGTAGGTTTATGTCAATATTATACATACAGGTATTGATATCAACTGCTGTAAAAGTACCTTAAGAATATGTTACTTTGAGAAGTAGAGTATGTCTGTTTTTCTCATTAATCCTTTGGCCTTGCCATTGGTTACTCCTTGTAAAGTGCTTTGTATGGATGGTTTCCATTGACCAGTGACTCCATCCCTGTGCGGACAGCTGTGCAGAGGGCTGGTCTGTGGTCAGACTGCCTGGACTCTTTCCCAGTTCTTCAGTTTGATGACATGTGGTAGTGGGCAAATTACTTAACCTGGTGAAAAATAGGAATAATAGCAAAACTTCCTGGTTTATTGTGAGAAGTGATTGAAATAATACCAATTAAAGACTTTGAACAGTGTCTTACACATAAAAGGGACTCAATGAAATTAGCTACCTTTTTTGCTTATAGAGTCCACAGATAGAATTTTGGTAAGTTTGATCTACCTTTTGACATTTAGTTCTACTTCCAGCTTATTTATTGTCCTTAGTTTTTATAGTCTCACTAAATTTGATAAGGATGCTTGTTATATCCCTCCATGGGGACATAAACTATTACTGCCGTTTCTTGCTAAACATAAAACATATATGTTTTTTGCCTAATAGTTTATGAGTTTAGTTTCCACATGTTGTGAATTTCCCAAATTTCCTTTTGTTACTGATTTCTCACTCAATTCCACTGCATCTGAAGAATGTTTTTGTGGGATCTCAGTCCTTTCTCTATGAGCTAACATAGGTTTATTCTAGAGATGGTGCCAGGTGGGCTTGAGAGTTCTGCTTTTGTCGGGTGGAGTGTTTTGTGGGCACCTGTTCTAATCTTTTTAGTGTTTTTGGAACCCTTGTTTTCTTATTGCTCCTGTACCTAGTTAATTCTGTCCTTTATTGCAACGGGATATTGAATTTTCAGCTCTTGTTGCTAAATTGTGTTTATTCCTCTGATTCTGGCAGTTTTGACTCTATGAGTTCTGAGTCCCTTTAGTAGCTGGTGTACAATTGTATTTTCTAGCTGCATTGAGCCTTTCATCATTGTAGAATGTCCTTCCCTATGTCTGACAGTTTCATCTTTGTCTCTCTTGTCTGATGTTGGTATAGTCACACCAGCTCTCCTTTGTGTTATCATGGTTTTTTTTTTTTTTTCCATTTTTAATTTCAACTTGTTTATGTCTTTGAATCTAAAATATATTTCATATAGTTAGATCGTATTTTTTTTATTCAATCTCTACCTTTTGATGGAGTAGTCCATTTGTGTTTCATACGTTACTGATAAGGCAGGACTTAATGTGTGTCTTTTTTGATCCTGTTTCTCATTACTGCCACCTTTTGTGGTAAATACTTCATAGATAACCATTTTGTTTTTTCCTTCTATATTTCTATGTTATTTTCTTAGTGATTATCTCAGAGATGATAATTAACATCTTAAAACAATTTCATTTGGATTATTACCAACTTAATTTTAGTAGGATACCAAAACTTTACTCTTCCTGTCTCCTATGTGCTATTGTCATACATTATAAACCGAGTTACAAACAAAAATACTTTTACATTTATCTGTATTTACCAATGTAGTTACTTTTGCTGGACTATTATCTGTTTTGTGTGGGTTTGAATTGCTATCTAGCGTTCTTTCCTGCTAGTCTGAAGGAAATGCCTTTAGCATTTCTTATAGGATAAGTTCTCTAGTAATGGAATCTCTCAGTTATACATTTGTTACCATGATTATTTATTGGTTCTTTCTTTTCTCTCTTTAGATCCGCTTTTAAACCCTTTAAGTGAATTTTTAATTTCATCTATTGTACTTTTCTATATCAGACTTATTACTTGGTTCTTCTTTATAATTTATTTTTATTCTCTGGTAAGACATTGTTCTTATATTTAATTTTGTAGAAATAAACTTCTCAAGTTCTTTGAATGTTTAAAATAGCTTATTTAAAGGGGATGTAGCTCAGTGGTAAAGTGACAGCCTAACATGCATGAGGCCATGGGATAACCAGCACTGGGGGAAAAAAAATGCAAACTTTGAACAGGTTATTTTAAGGTACTTGTCTTTTGGGGCTACTTCTGGGCTTCTTCCAGGACTTTTTCTGTTGACTGCTTTTTCCCCCCTATATATAGATCATTTTTTCCTGTTTCTTTATATATATCTCCTTATTTTTGTTGACAATTATATACTGTGGCAGTTGTGAAAATCAGATTCCCCACCTCACCCCAGGACTTCTCAGTGACTCCAGAACTTGAGGACTTTGCCCCTGTCCCAGCGTCTGTACTTGTTGGGACACACCATCAACACTCTGGCAGTTGACTGCTCTGCCTTAGCCTTTGTTTCCTTTGTGCACAGAGCCTTGAGGTCAGACAGAGATGTGAGACTGGAGCCTTCTCAGACCTTTTCTTTATGTGTGGAGAGCTCGTGTGTGGCCGGAATCCCCCACACTGTGTCCTCATGGACATCTACACCCAGATTTCCCTTCAACTTTTTGGCCTTCCACTTGTTTGCCAAACTGGGGTAGCTGCTTCAGGCAGCTGTGGTGGTGTCTAATTGCTGCTAATTTTTGGCAAGCACCCCAGGGATAATGCTTTTTCAGTGAGTTCTCTCTGAGGTCATATAAAATGGGGTATGAATGGGCCTTTTCTAGGGACTGCCAGGCAGGTCCAATAATAGCAGTCCTCTGAATTGTTGCAGTATCTCCACACTCCTGCCCTCTCCAGTAGCCACTGCTGCTGCTGTTCCAGTGGTGGGAAGCTGGGGGAGGAGGTAGGAACAGGACAGATCGAGACACTATACATTTCTTGTTCTTACCAAAAGCCAGTTATGTTCTTGTTGCTGTTATGGGAGAGTAGACTTTGGAAGTCCCTTATGGGCCATTCTGAAAGTGTTTTCTTCCAGGTGATTACTTGAAAGGGCACTTCATGACCCTTCTGCAGATGAAGGTTTGTCACTTAGCACTAGATGGTACCAATGCACATGGCAGACAGCCAGTCATGATGTAGTGATGCAGATCATCTTCGAAGAAAGATCATCGTATTGCAGTCACTGACCAGATAGTGTGGACAGATGCCAATCTGTTGAGACAATTTAGTACTGACTGCCTAGAACTGTCTTAGTATGAGACAGTTGAATTCACCCAGAAGATGTGGTTCAGAACTCTCCTACTAGAACCACTGAGAATTGATTATGCTGGCAGTGCACCGAAGGGAGAACTGCCTAGTCTGGGAGAGCCAGGTGGCTTCAGAAAGTGTGGAACTTGACTGCCTCAGAAGGAACATGGTACTGAGTAGAACATGGAGAAGTAGAAGCACTGTCAGGGTGTGAGTGGGCTTCACACAGGCCAGGGGCCCCAGTTCTTCTTTTCTGAAGTTTTTTTTTTTTTTTTTTTTTTGTCTTTTTTACTGTGGAGTAATAAAAAATAAAGACGAATAGGTTGGTGATAGATTCTAGAAGTGGCAGCTAAATAGTCTAAAAGGCCATTAGGTTAGATATTCATTAATAGTTAAGAGACAAAAGTAACTTGGTTTTTTTGTTTTTGTTTTTGTTTTTTGACCTATTGTGCAGATAATATATGAAATTGACTGATTTCTGCTGATTGAACATGTGGCTTCTCTGGCATTTTTAGGTGTCATTTGCCAATGCTGTATATTGGACTTGAATATGGACTGACCAACAACTCCAAACTGGCTGAAAGATTCTTTGGCCAGGCTCTCAGCATTGCACCAGAAGATCCTTTTGTCATCCACGAGGTTGGGGTAGTTGCATTTCAGAATGGAGAGTAAGTACTGGGAGACCTGGCCCTGTGCTGTCTCTGAGTCCAGCTGACAGGGTACCTCTTCATTAGGTCTTGGTCTTTACTTGTAGTGTTTTAGAAGATGGTGGTACCTAGCTAAGGAAGAAAACAAACTCTTTCTTAATCTTGGTTTTCCTTAGAACATAGACCTATGGGTTGAACCTCCTTTGATTGGGCTGTCATGAATTCTGATGCCATGGTGTAGCCCCAGAGGCTTGGCAGGGTCCTAGTGATCTCTGTCAGTTAGGAGTTGGTTCATTTGTTTGGGGAAGTTTTTCTGCAATTTTTGAACAAAAATTCTATTTTTAGTTACTAATAATAAAATAAATTGGAATGACCCAGTTTCTGGTTTCTTGGTCAATTGACCGTTTTCTATAGCTTTGGATATTTGTAGAATAAGTGATTTGGTGATTTCTTTGCATGAGATTATAAGTTTACAGAGAATAAATCTAGAACATCAGTTCTGTTTATGGCATATATATGTTCTAAAATCTAAAAATTGGAGTAAACTTAGAAGAAAGTTTGAGGCTTTTAAAATACATAATAATAATATAATGCAGTCTGTTTTCAGTATTTGCGAATTCAGTTCCTACAAATTGGCCTACTAAGATTCACCCATCACCCCAAAACCAATTTGAAGTGCTTTTAGTCTTTTTGTACACACAGGGTGGGAGAGACTGGAGTCCTCAGAGTGCAGTTGCTGGCTAACCTTGCACGGGGCCACACTCTGTTCACACTATAAACCAGGGGCCTTGTGATCTATTAATGTCACATTTCTCACATTTTGTGCTCCCCCCCCCC